GCAGAGGTAATCTTACCACTTAACATCATTTTATCAGCTCTCAAAAGCTAGGCATTTTATTTTCTTATATCTTTGTGACAAAGGACATATTAGCCTACAGACAACATGGAATATTTGCAAAAAACTGTAGTCTACAAATTATTACATTTATAACCTTGTTTATATGCAAATTCTTAGTATTCTAACATATTTTCTACATGTAAGGTTGTTTCCCCCTAATTATAATGAGAAGAACAATGAAAAATTATTAAAAAATTAGAAAGACACATCACAATTATGCCTGTACTGTCTTCTTTTTCTTCATAAGAAATCAAATGAAGCTGGTGTGCGCACGAAGCAGACCCAGCATAATCTCGTTCTCCTGATTTATATTTTACAACTTACAGTTATTTTAAAATTTAATGTAAATCTACTTAATGAAAATGGTTTGAGTTTTACAGGTGTTTGCATTGAGAGAAAAATAGAAGTTTTACAGTGTATACAGTATATCACAAGGGTCTTTGAATGTACATGAATAAAAACTTTCTTTGCTTCGCTAATATTTAGTCTGTGCAAGGTGTTAGATTGCCAGTGATATTTGATGAAGAGGCTTTCTAAAATCAGAACAATCTCAAGTCTAAAATAGTCCATGCCGTCCTTTAAATGGGACTTTTCACAACAGGTGATGGAATAGTTCAGACTATGACCATTATCTGTCAACTTTTGACTCAGAAATGACTAGATGTTGTATTACACAGAAGTTAATGGCCACTGAGGCCACTAAGGTCATTATTAATGGACCTGGAGTATTTTTTGTCAGATGAGTCTGTTTCTCTAACAAATATGAGGGCTAAAAAAGAAGTGTTTTGGAAAACAGTGTTAGTCAAATTGCGGCTAATATACAAACCTTCTGGAGGGCAAGGACCATTAAGTATAAGTAGGTCATCAATCGCAATATCACCTCTCTGGCCATCACCTGCTTCAACTTCAAATATAATCTGAAATAGAAATTAGTTAGAAACTTTCTGTATGACATAAAAGGAGTCCTTTAAAGTGCACTTGTTCTGGGTAAATGAAGCAATAGGATCTTACGTGAGTTTAGTTTCAGCCTCACACAGTCATAGCCTTTAGTTTTACAAAGGGAAAGACTTTCTTTCTGACAAATGCTTCATCTTCACAGTTATGGAAACAAATTAGAAAGAAGTGACAAGTGTTGAGTTGCTCTGAAATTCAGCAGGATAAATTAATCTATTTTGACAGAGTATAAGTGTGAAAAACAAAGGGAAATATGTCAAATTCTTATTTCTTCTTTATCTCTTGATGGACTAAGTAATGACAGTTTCATCATTAGTATTTAGGAATTAGTATTAGGAAGACTAGTCCATTCCTCACTCTGTTTATGAACTTATGATGCAAAGCATATACAGTACATAATTAGAACATTTTTCAGAGAAATGGAAACTCCCACTCAAACCATCTCAGGATTTACAGCCTAAAGACTTTAGAACAAATTGTACTGATTAAGCAGCTGCAGGTTATGTAATAGTATTTAACTTTTTAAAGTTAATATGTGTTTCTTGTATTTGTGTGCTGTGATTTTTAGAACTAAGATTTTGTTGAAAGAAGGAAAACTGATGACTGCATTCCTCAGGCCTGGATATTTCCAGATTTAATACATATTCATAAATTGTGATCTTGGAAAGCGCTATGATGTCTGAGCACCTGACAGTTGTTACATAAAACGTTTTGCTGGAAACCTTGATTAGTGAGTACGTTTGGTCAAGACAATCACTTGCAGTCAATCAGGAGAGTTAATCAGACATTCCACCAAGTGTTTTTTGCCCGGGATCAATAGGGCTGAGCGAAATGCAAAGTACAATTAATAAAGAAATTTCTTAAAAAGGTCATTCTAGACTTCACTTGAAGAATTAGACCTACTTTTGCAAGTGTATTTTTATTTATGTAAATTGTGACTGAATTGTCCCCTACCTGGTACTGACTTTCATGACTGAGTATACTAACTCTCCCGTGTCTCCATAAATTGCCTTGGTTTCCTCTTTTTCTCCACAGCAGAACTTTTGATTGCTGATACTTCTGCAGGTAGATGCTAAGTGCACCAATATTCTCTCCCTCCATGTGATACCAGAATTTTAGACACTCCCCACTCCATGGAGTTGGCTTGTTCAAATGGGTAGCTATGCTACCCGTGAAACCTTGTGGCCACTTCCAAAGTTGTGCACACAGGTAGTAACCTTTAAAAAACATACCAGAAAAACACAGATGGAAGATAGTTTTAGAAATGGAAGTTATCCACGCTTCTATCTCATTACTGAAACAATTCAGATCGCACTAACTTATTTTACTGTCTTTTAAATCAAAACATGAGCTGACATTTTAATGGCATTGCCCATAAATTTTTTCTGCATTAGGCCCTGTCTTTATCATGATATACCGTGTTTTAGAAAAGAGCAGTATTAAAATGCAACGATGGCTTGTGAAAACATAGTGTTCTGTTACATGTGGTACAATTGGGATTGTACGTTGCAAGTGTTAACTGTGCAAAACTTTATGACATATTTCTTTTAATTTAATTTTGGTTTGGTTTCATTTTTGAATGTCAGTTTTTCCTTATTACTCACATATCAGAGAAAATGAAAATTCTTTGTTAAGATTGTATAGTTTACATTATTTATACTGCTAATTTAACACCACACTGTTTATTTAAAATGATGTCTAATCTAGTTTAAATGAAATGCTTAAAAAATGTGAATTTCAAGTGAACAGTGTATGTAACAATTATTATTAAATATTATTTTATTTTAATATGCTTTGTTTACTCAGTCACGGATACTGTATTTGTTTTGAAACACCTACCAATACATGTGGAAGGTTAAAAGATTAATCTGAAACAATATGATTTGGATATGATTTCTCTAAGGATGCAGTATTTCTTTGAAATAACATTGCTTAAAAAAGGTATTAGAAATATTCTAACTTGGACTTTGGTTCTAAGCAATAGTATATCAATAGTTGATTTACTCACAATGAATAACACAAGAAATGTAGGTATTTAAAATTTACTTAGGATTAGGTATAGATATGCAGGCTTGTATATGCATTTTTTCCAGTTCCTTGCTGAAGAATGTAATACTACAAATATGGACACACATATACACAAATATAGACACTGTCTGCCAAAATTATTGTAATGAGCTCTTGAATCTTCAATGCTATCACACTACCATCCACAATCCTTCCTCATCTCATGTAAACTCCTAAAATATACCTTGTTTACCATGCTCCTTTCCTCACATATACATCTCTCCAAATAACCATGTGTATCTGTGCTTCTCCCCTCACACATCTAATGCCTAAACAACTACATCCCATTTCACTTGACCTTTAAGAAAATATCATAATCTTAGCCACTGAATTAATCATGGAAAGAGCTCATTGTGGTTCTCTTTTCTCCGGCTTCCCTTACATGACAACAAACCGCAACCTCAAGCAAAATACCGATCCTAACCCTGATCTGTAAACCCCTTCAAATGAGAGATTATCCTACCCAATATGAGATTGCTTCTTCTTTATCAAATGAGACCATTTCTAACCAACCTAACCTCTGTTGCACCCGCATGCAAATGCTTGTATCAAGTGTACAAAACACACTCAGAGTGACAAATACACTTCCTACAACTGGTTTTTCTATAAAGCTGCTGTACGTATCACAATTAAGATCTGATATTAAATGTATATTGGACTTTTAAATATACAGTAAGGCTGTTATGCTTGTGCTGTTATGGCAACCAAGGCCTAATATCTTAGGATCCTATGCGGAGTAATTGAGTGTTCAAGAGAGTGTTGAGACAATAGGCAAAAGCACGGTTGGGTATCCAAAGCCGTATCGTATAGGTATCCGCTGAAGCCGATAAGCTCGTTTGTGAGAAATACTCAGAGGACCGGTGGTTGTAACATGTACTCTATGCAATATCACTAGAATATCACTAGAAGTGTGAATTCTAGGAAGCACATAGAGTTCAAGCATATCATTTTCACAATAACGTATAGTAAACCAGATCCTAGTCTGTTTTTAAGTGAAAATTCTCCTTGATGGAATGAATTATATACACCCAATTAATCAAACAAACTGGAGCAGTTAAAGTATTATGATTAAAATCATTGCTAAATATAGTGGGAATATACAAGTCATGTACTGTATCTTCATTACCAGCAGGTGTGCCTAAGGTATGGTCTTCAGCTGGGCTG